AAACCGAACCTGTCCTTTCAAACGCATTCTAGAATAGGCAGATCTGAATGTGGTACGAAAATTTTGCGATATGAATGCATAGCAAATTGGATTAATGCACGATTGACAATATGCCTGCAAACAACTCAACATTAACGATAACTCGTCGAAGTATCTCATTCCTATCTGTGATCGACAATTTCTATCGAATACATGTGAAATAAATCCTTGAGAAAAAGAAAACCCTCGAGAGGATTGCACGAATTTGGTGAAAAAACTCGAAAAAATTCTGTTGAATTCAACAAGAAAACTCAATTATCACGGACAGCATCAATCAATCATCGATGAATGAAATGCGTTTTTCAAATATTTAACAAACCAATTTCGATAATTCATTCTCTCTCACATCAAATGTTAGTGTATGTTATGAGAAACTTACCAAAGCATGAAAGCCCATTCTCATGTATTTGAGTGTTGGTGTATTTGACGGTCGACATATATAGCCGAAACTCGTCAAAAATTCGTCAACTGAAGATTCAAGTATAAATGCATGAAACATCTGACATAGCAAGTATGTGAGCAATTTTGAACAATCTCATAGAAAAGAAACGAAAAATTTTCAAATGCCGCAATAATGACTCGCAATCAGTGCCATTTACCAATAATTCGGTAAAGAATTGGTGGTTTTGTCTATGAGCTGAAGTAGCTCTATGCAGCTGTGGTCATCGAAATTTCTTCAATTCGTCTCAAAATCAGATGCTAGATGATCTTATAGAATACAGGATCATTTGTGATCTCCGAGATCATAAACTGCACTGTTCACGACGTACTCAACATGGGCTATCAGTAGAATTCCTACATCATTAGCTCCAAAGAATTATTAGTCAAGGAATCTGCAATCTCGAAATGAAACCAACCTATCGAAGGTGTCCAACACACGGTGTACATTACAACAATTGAGATCAGCATTTGAACGATCTGAAAACCGTTAAAACTTTGTAAGTTGTCAATGACCATACGTGAAAAACAACTGCATACAGTTGCAGCTTGAGGAGACACCTTGACTGAGGGTAAATGCATTCAGAAATTCGCATGTGTATTCTAAAATTCACAATCCTGCTCGCCTGCTCAAAATGAAGAAAGAAAACACAGATTCAGTGCGGCGAAGAAGCCCATGTCGTGCTTATAGAAATCGCAATCTGGATCATTTAAGAACCACAACTACATTTTGTTATGATCTCAGCTAATTGAATGTAATTCAATCACTGCATGACGATACTCATTCACCTGTTTTTTGTTGCTTTCAGCCACTCGAGCGTTCTTTTTCTGCGGCATTTTTAAGCCACCTATCGTTGGTCTATAAGACATTGCACTTGTCATCGGTAAGGTGCTGTAGGTTGTGAAGGTGATCGCATCAGTTGCCGCCTTCGAGAAGGCGACCCTGAAAGTGCGGTGACCCATCAGAGGCGAACTAGACGATACGTATGGGGTATGTTTACACGAAGAAGCAGCTGACTGACTAATAACATGCTCTAAACAATCCGGCCGGACTGAGAAAACGTTCCGTAGCTGATGCTCTAAGGTAACAAATGGATAAACAACTAGCTGAGGATATGATATGATCAGCCGATAAGCCACAAATACAATACGCAGATGAAAACACTTCAATTGATATGGGGGTAAAAGCTGAGGATCAAACCATGCAAGAATATGATCAAACAATCACTAGTCGACGATAATTACATGAAACTTCGAATTCAAACATAGAAATCTAATTATGGAATTATGAGCTTGCAGTAGTTATGATAACTTGCAGCATTTCAAGGTATGCTGCAATTCCAGAATTTAGCTTGAAATGATGATTGGTAACCTCTAGTCCCGACCTGGTAACGGACAAGGCGCATTCCGAACTCTAGTCGCTTTCGTTTGCCTGTTACCACATACAGTGCGCCCTGGGCGCATCGTTATGAAAATCTTTGAAAAAAAAAGAACTGACTGAGTTTCAGTTCAATCTGGACAGGGCGAGTGAAACGACTCGAGTCAAACAGCACTCAACGTACGCAATTATTT